TATTATTGATGTGCAAAAAATGCTGGAACGACCATGTATTCATCACAGTTAACCACAGTCCTTGTAATAACTGTCAGCATGTGTTTGATTGCAGAGGCTTTTCCTCRCCTCCAGTAGTGAAGATTTTGTAATGAGCTTTTTTTTCTGTAAAGGTTTTGCAGATGTACATATTATCTGATGATATAATTAAAAGCTGACAGCTGACTTGATTAAATATTGATTGCTTGTAACGGTGAACATGAAAAAACATTTGCAAGACAAAAAAACCAACTTTTATGATGTGCAATCCTCCTTGATATTTGAAATTAGCGAGGCTATTTGAGGGAACAACTGGTCTAAAAATACACAAATATTGTCAAATGCAGCAAAAGTATAAATAACCGTGTTGATCTAATATTAGATATTTCACTTMAAACAGAGATGGGTTGATGAGCAATGATGTAATTTGTAAAGAGCACATAGAAAAATTAAAATGTGAATGAACGTGAATGAGTTCAGGCTTCGTGCGTTTTACTCAGCGCTGCTGTTTGAAATGACASATGTTCTCACCAATTTTCTCACATATGTACAACACATTTTTGACAGTGAAGCATGTTGGAGAAAATGKTCCTTTCTTTAGCCAATTTCCACATTTTCTCAGGAGCAGAGCTTGGTCTGATACTCTGCTGCAGCACAGACACATTTCAACATCAGTCCAAGATGTCAGAGCTATAAACCACATCATGTATGAAATACACCTGGAACATGTAATTAAAATGTAAYAGTAAAATCTGAAGAAACTAATGGAGAGACATACATAGCTCTACAAAATAAATCTCTGAAACTACATAAAAAGATAGAAGAGTATTGACATGATTAYGATCCAACAAAAGTCTTGGACAAAATGCAAGTGAAAGGAAAAGTAAACACAAGTGAAACATGGCAAAGATAATTTTCAGTTGAAGATGCAGAACAAAGACGGACTTCCCCTGGTCTGATTTTCAGCTGCATCACTCTGAGCATTTCTACTCTCCCTGACCCCTATTTGATCAAGAATTTGGATCTGCATCCATTCAGAATTGAATTAGACTTCCTTGACATGGATGATAGATGGGTGTGGGGGAAAAGCCATGCATTTAGAATACCTTGTGTTGCTCAGGCCGAGTCCATGACGCCTGTAGAGAACAAACAGACAACAGACAGAAAGCAAAGCAATTCTTAGAAAGTAATCCTCCATCCGCTCAAAACTTGGATGTTGCATAGTGCATGCAAAAATGAAGTCCTGATCTGACTGGATTTGCTCAATACTGCAGCTACACTTGGAGTTAGGCTACTATTCCCATTATATGACAGCTGAATTTTTATTTAAAGGTACATTTTGATGAATCTTTACTGAGTTAACTGCACYGCAAACCAAAACAAGTAAAGCCCATTGGCATCATGATAGCAGACATTCTTACAGATGAGAGTGTTATTGGTTTATCAGGAAGAGGTGATTCTATTACACTGCAACAACAAAGATAGGCCAGTCTTTCTTGATAAAAGCAGTGCAGCAATTATCGACTCACTATCCATTTTACTCTCCTACTGCTGTCTTTATTTGATAAAAAAAAGCTTTCTCTGCAAAGAGAAACACCAGTTAGCAGCCAAGTCAATCAAGTCTCTGAAGAACGCTTTTGTGTTTTTTCAAGTAATGACAGGTTGAAATAGGTAATTCTTTTTAAGCTTTTTGTAGAGTTGATGTGAGACCCAGAATTATATCTTTGTGTACAAGTGATCTTGTAAGATTTTTTACAAAACCTCCTCTATTATTTGAATTTCAGTTTTACCAAACAATGGTCCTGCTTTTATTGTTCTCTGAGTCTGAAACAGACAAAACTCTTTCTTCTCAACAGCTATAATTACAGCTCTGTCAAGAGTATGATGTTTAGGCTTTTAAGTGCTATTTTTGTGTTGTGTAAAAAAACTATAGTTTGGTTAATGTCCAATGCTTATTTTTAACTACCTGCCCATATTTGGTTTTGTTCTTATATATGCATTGAAACAATACAGCTCAGTTTTTTATAAACATTCTTAAAATTAAATCAAAAATCTAATTGTCTATTACCACTAAAAATAAGTTTATTTGAGGTATTAGTTTAACATTTAAACATGACAAATTATTGAGGATCTAAAATGACAAATCTATGCATATAAAGAAAAGATTATCAACACCATCATGCTGGGCTAATACTTTCAATATGTTTAACATCCAGCTTCATACAGAGTTACATTCCACTATGGAATATAAAAATCTCTGGACAACACTGACAAAGATACCATGCTATATCCAATTCAATCACACAACACTGAATAACTCCACAAGACAGAAAGCTTTTTGGACAGCATGCTCTGTGGTGGTGCTGACGAGAAAATGTTAAGCATGTCAATGACATGTGATGGTGTACAAAGAGAAAATTGAAGGGCAACAAGCAAAGTGATGGACAGCTATTTTGCCAGGTGCTACGGCAAGAAAATGTAAAAGTGAATGAAATCAGTCTACTGGAATAATTATGGGGCGAAGCAGTATATCAAACCATTAATATTCACATCTTAAAGCACTGATATGTTATCCAGAATATCGCAGCAGAAAGCTTTACAATAGCTTCATTTTAAATATGTTTGACAATTGTTTTCCTTTACTGTTAAAATAAGAAACAAAGCCAAACAGACATTAAAAGAGCTTTATGCAAAGCTGACTGCACATCATTAAATGCAGCAGTTGGCTGTGTGTCATCATAGCGCTGTGAAAGAGCAGTCTCCCAATTAAAACAAGCAACCCACCAGTGTGGAACATCACCACCTCATCCACAAACACAGTGCTTCATCCGCCGTAAGTGAGCTGACAAGTATCGCTGTCATATCTGTGACAGGTGTTTGCTTCAGACAAAAGGACAATGAACAACTGCAGATGTGAGCTCACAAAACAGAGGACACCCAAACAGAGTCACTTATTCAAGCAAATGCAAGGAACAATGTGTTTCTGACACCCTTGAGACTTATCTTTTTTTTCTTTTTCTTTCAAGCTTATTGTTATTCTGTTCCACAGACAATAATCCACCCTCTTTGTTCCAATATAAATCGTAATGTCAGCGTGAAGAAGCCAATGCAGAGGAGAAAGAAACCCACTAATACCAATATACTAAAAGCTTTAACAGAAACCAGGGTGGTGTTTTATTAGCTGCGTGTCAGATTGTCCTGTGCCACAAATCTCCAAGTCGTGGACACTTACCGCTGCATGACAGAAACCTGACAATTATTTTATTCAAGACATCCTTATAGCACAACTGACCTAGCAAGAGTGCTGCTAATGAGTGGCTTTTTGTGTTGATAGAAACCGTGTTCTTTCCGCATCAACAAACAAGACTTGAAGCATGCCTCACTCTTTCACTGCCATACACCATTAATTAACAAAATCTTTTTAAGCATCTCGTTACTGACATAACAATCACTAATGTTCTGTCTTGAGTCTATAATCGTAGTCCAGTTGGCAATCTGAAATTTATAAAAAGCTGACATTAAACTGGATTTGATTTTTTTTAAACTGAGAGAGATTAAAAAACACAACACACTAGAGACATACAATCCTGTTAACCAATTTAACATTTATGTACATTTAGGTTTATTTGAAAAAGGTAATATTTTGCAGTGTCCTTCCTTTGTATTACGCAGAATATGTTCACATAATTACAGCTTGAAACCCCAGCATCAAGGAGAAGCTTTAATAAGTATTCAAATTGGCCAAACATTCATTATGAAGATAATGTACAAAGCATGAATAAATACTTCATTTACATTTTCAGTTATTAAACAGACACACTTATCTAAAACAACTCAGAAGAAATGCTTTCAAAGGACTGAGTGAACCAAAAACCACATGTAAAATTGATGAAAGTTTTTAAATTAAATGTATAAACACCCCACTTTGATAGCTGTGTGAACACAAACAAAACCATCCCCAGATAAGTACTCATTTAAATTTGAAATGTAACTAAGCAAACACATTCCCACTAGTCTTCATTTTTAAACAGTCTTTTTATTCATTTTCTTTTAATAAACAATCGTCCTCAGTCCTCTCTTTAAATGGTTAGGGGACAATGCTTTTGTTGGCCCACACGCTTAGTAGGTTACTGAGAGCCAATTAGTTTCTCCTCATTTAAATTTCTTTAATCTAAGACCAGAGAAAAATAGGAAGAAAATCAAATTAGAATGTGCCAGCAGAGAAAATCTAAAACAACTTCCTAAAAAGGGGCACAAAAATAGAAATGCAACTTGAAATTTGCCCCGTTATTTTCCTTAACTTCTGGCAAATAAGCCAGGTGGTGTTAAACTATGATGTGAACCACATTGTCCATGATTTAAATTAAGCTGGAAAAGCAGGTTGACCTTACTTGAATCAAACCTGGACAAGGAGCAAGTAGAGGAAAGATTTACTGGATGTAAATTTACATTATTTTGGAACCAATTTTATCTATGAAAACACCTGTAATAATAAATCTTTTTGCAATTTTTACAATTTTCATTTGCCTTGTTTTGTTCACACCTTACGTATGTGAATCAGAATTGCTGCCAAGTACTCTTAACAAATCTGCTTTGCAAATATTTTATATAAATGCACTTACCACATTCACAAGAACAAGGCAGTATAATGAGTTTTGTTGGTTAGTCATCAGTCGAAACAAATCTTCCTCATCAAGTAAGTAAACATCTAAACATGCATTTTTGATTAGTTTTTAAATCCCTTCCACTTTCAAAGTTTTATTTATTTTTAGTTTATTGAGCATTCACCCATGACGAGTACAAAATGAACACACGAATCATGCAATCCTTATAAACAAACCATTGAGACCAGTACTAGATGAGTTATGGAGTTATGTATTGATTCCACTGCATAAAGTAGACAACTTCCATATAGTACCATCTACTTCCTTAAGTTTTGATAGCACATGATACTGGATTACCACACAGTCTTTTATGCATCAGTGCCAGATAAACCTAATCCAAAATGAACAGCCTCAGTCTGCACAGCCCAAGTTCAGTTTATTAATAAAACCATTTTTCATGAACTGGTGAATTTCCATAAAATATATTTTTTATTGCTGACACACTCGTTCATAATAATTGACAGCATCTGACTAACTAAAAAGCTGAAAATCTGAAAACACATTCAAATTAACTGCTAATTAATTCTAGTTATTAATCAGCATCACACGTCTCAAAACGCAGCACAGATCTGTGCTAGTTTTCTGACCAGTTAGAAAATCTCACCTTGATATGTTAATGAAAACATGCTGTCACATTTCTACTTTTTTATTATTATTCAACACATTCACCTCAATTTATTGCAAATTAATACTTTTTTTACACTCCTCCTTGATAAAACACAGCTGTTGTAACTTGTATATTGGACAGACATCAAATGGACAAACAAAAAAGGCAAACAATTAGCAGCCTGTTTTCTTGTGCTTTAACACAATCTGACCACAAAAACTGTTTGTTTTACTTGTAATCAAAGCCATAAAGAAAAGTCTAAACAATCAGCATCAATGAGAATCAGCACGGCTGCTAATCATTTTTTAAGACGGCTGTGAAGAGATGCCACAGACCACTAAGCAGACTGTACTCTACAGCACAAATCACACTGCCACCACTGTCATTTAAGCTGTACTGTCACTTGACATGTGTCATAGTTCAACACAACAAATGAGTAGTGCAAAGTTAAAATAATGGATAGTACATACTGTAAGCTCCAGCTTTTATTTAATATATGAAAAATAAAAAATAATACACTGTGACTTGGCCAGCCCTGCACTTGCAGAGCTGCTCTTCACACGAACAGAACAACCTTCCAGGAAATGTTTTTTTTATGATACGAATGTGGGATGCGAAGCTCTGAATATTATTCTTCACACGGTAATGAGTCTCTCCTCGTCCATTACGGCTTCAAGACCAAAAAACAAGCCAAACTGGAAGTGACAGCAGAGGAAGTCCAGGTACACCAGCTGGCAGATGTGTTCTATACACAGTCTTCTCCTGGGAGCTTGACATTGGATAATAGAACTGAGGTGTAGACTGTTACTGTGCAGTGCATCCGTGTGTGCCCGGGTGCCTAGCCACAGAAGGTGTGCACACTTGCAAAGGAACTGACAAAAAAGGGCTAGTCGTGAAGTGCGTCATGTGGTGGAAGTGTGTTTTGCACTTCAGAGTGATGCTCCAATCAAAGTGTATTTTTTAAATATCTAACGGACTTGACAGGTGGCTGCAAAATGTCCCATTTGCATGGAGGGAATTAGCTGTAGTCAGCTTGAACTCATATCAGTTGAATGCATTTTAAATGGCCATTTTTTCTCTACCTGAGGCCACTTCTATTTCTAGTAACAGTGTTTTTTGTCTGCAGAGAGATAAAGGTTTGATATTTGAAAGATAGACTTTAAGTGGAGCGCCTTTAACCTCAATTTTTAAGCAAAACTGGCATCAATGTTAGATGGTCTACAGTAACATGGAGATGAGAGACAGACTGCGCTGTGCTTGAGTAAAAGTAACCTCATGCTGTGATGGGAAGTTTGAAATGATCAGGCAGTAGCAACACAGAAATGATGTTTCCCTTTTATTCTGTTATTAACCAAACTTTCATTTGATCTTGTTAGAAAAGCTCGAACATTTTCTATCACAAGATCAGTGAAGTTTTTAAACCGTATTTGGAAATCATGCAGCGGTCAAATCGATTTCATGAACCCTGATGTGATCATTCCTTGGGGTTTTCAAGAAGCAGCTGGGGAATTTTCAACAAAGGGCGATTTGATTTTGGTGGGAGTTTTTGTTGTATCCGAAGACAAATTTTACACACTACTCCAGGACATTTCTGTGCCACATGGATTTCATACCTGATAGATCCTGTTTAGATGTGCCTGTGGGGAGAAAATGTAGCGTATGTAATGGACTGGTTCCAGAAATTCTCTATGAACTGATGTTTACCTCTAAATCATAACCCCCTTTTTTACTTCTCAGCTGCAAAGAGACACCAAGACCTTGAAGAAACAAGCCATGTGGACAATAAATGGATGAGAATACCAATCAGGTATTCCTTTTTTAATGGTTTAGATGTGTAATGATGTAGAAGATATTACAAAGGGAACATCCAGGAGATTAAAGATGTAATGGAAGATTAAAAACTGGCTGATAACCACAAACAAATTAGAAATAAAAAAGCTTTATTAACTGATATAATAGCACCTAAATATGAAAACTTTTCAATCACTGGCATAAACAAATTATGATAACAGTGATTGAAAACGCTAAACAAACACTTGCTGATTCAAATGTTCATTCTAGCACATAAAAGAAGAAGCATGGAAACTTTAGCTGTCTTAACTTACGCAATTATTTCGGAAATAAAACATTTCTAAATAGGGCTTTTTTTAACATCAGAGAAACTCATGTAGCATCAAAGTGCATTCAATTTTACCTGACATGTTTCACCAAACTGTTAATAAGATCCACTTGGCTATCTTAAAACAACAGCTAATTTAGTGTAAATAATCAATAGCAAATAAAGCTTGTTGAAGGCACTTTACAGTGAAGTCCCCACCTGCACCCAATCAATATATCATTGCAAAGTAGGTTAAAGGTATTCAATTTGTCTCCTTTAAAACACCTGTGGCCTGCAGGTTTGTGTTCCTCCCTGGTGGTTACCGCTAAATGTGTCCCAATTTCACATACAAATGCTTCACAAACAATGCATTCTCAAGTAATTAAACCAGCAAGAAATCAATGTTCTGTTTGGTTAAAATTGGAAAACATGAAAGGTGCACGAGGAAACAGTGCTTAAACTTTGGAAATGTTTAAAATTTGAATACATCACAAACTGCCTGGGAAACATTTTTTGAGTTATAATTTGTGCTTCTACAGGTGATAAATTGCCACCTTTGTATTTTTTCCAAGTGTTTTGTTATGTACTAGTTGCCTAAAATGTGTGTTCTTTAACTATGGAATGCACCTCTAACATAAAGTGAATCCATGTATTTCATTTCATGAGGTGCAATAACTTCTGATGCTGGTTCTTTACAGATGAGACTTTAACACATTAGATAATCCGTTATATAGAAACTAAAGTCATCTGTTCCTCCTTGATGACTTTACCTGCTCGCCCTCGGTGAAGGTGTGCTCTCCGTAGCTCCAGCTTATGGTAGGCGTTGGATCTCCTGTTGCCTCGCATGTCAGTGTTACCTGCTCCTCCATCTCTGAAGTGGTCTGGTTTACAATGTATGTGATCTTGGGTTTTACTGTAAAACACAAACCTGATGTTCACATAACTATTTTGGCAAAATAAAATAACATATGCAGGTGGTTTGGCAGCACAAGCACACAGAGTAACTCCAAATATTCGGGGTGAGTTCAAAGGTAAATAAGGTTCAGTAGTTAGGAGGTGAGAGTGATTTTTATGAATGAAAAACATTTTAAACTTTACCACTGGTTGCAGTGCTTGTAATATACTGATGATCATGTTTGGATTTAAATGTAATYAGCATCCCAATTTACTCTATCTCAAAGGATGGTGTCTTCATTATAGCCCACGTTTGAATTAATTGTCATGAGTGTTAACCTTAAATCACAGCGGAGTGCAACACTGCTGACATGAGCGCAGCAAAGCAAACTGAAGTGCTACTTTAGAGGAATGTGGGTGAATATTACCTCTATATTATTGCTCTCATCTTTTTTTATTCCACTCCACACAGGATGAATGTATGGGTTATACAATTCATGGAAACAAATTCACTGCAGTCAATTTATATTTTACAAAAGAAAACTAAAGAGGTTTTGGACAACATTCAAATAAATTCAGCTGTAACCTGTTTTAATGATCTCAACACAGACATGATAAAAAAGAGCAGTAAAAACTATTATAGAAATTATAGTTTTATTTTATATCTACTTTTTTGAGAACCTTGAGATGTTTTCTTTTTGTCAACTCTTGCCTTGCTTTATCTTTCAAAAGTTTTTTTTCTAATCAAAATTATTATATTGTAGCGCTAAATATCACCACAACAATTATAGTCATTTTTACTGGTAACTGCATTGTTCAAGATATAATAATTTTAAAAAAAGCACACAAAAAGCAAAGTAAGCTGACKCTTTATTTAAACTAATTATCTGTTCTTTTTTAATATTACCTTTTGATTATTAAGTTTTTAGGTAACTGAAAACATAAATGTGCAGTGACTTGGATTTGCCAYCAGGTGTAAATAATACGCAGCTGTATTCTGCTATAGAATATAAATATCAAGTCAAACTTTGTAATGGTGAACACCGAGTACCAAAGACCTCAGAATTGGCGAAAAATAAATGAGGATTCTAACAATCCACATTGGTGGTTTGTACATGCAAAGGGGGATTCACACACACACACACATACACACACAAAGCTACGAGACTAAAGCTTTTTACATATTAATGTACGGCAAGCAGAGTTTTGTGAAAAATGTGAAAATCTTGGAAATAATGAGGTAAACAATGAGCTTTSACTGCTGTCTTGAATAATTGTGTGATAATTGTTTGCTCTGAAGAAATTACAAAGGGCATCTCTTCCATTTAGGGTAACAAATTGCTCCAGCCAACACACTGAAAATGTAACTGACATAATGACATGAACTCACATTATGATTTGAGATGAAAATATTTGTTGTGACAAAACAAAATAAAGACAAAAACAACCTAATGGAGGATAAAAAAATCAACTGAGCTCATCCTTGTTTGCTTGTTCTGTAAATCCTTCAGCACCACCCCTACATAAAACATCAACAACCCACACCAGAACAACACTTTATTCTTGTCTGTCTTAAAACAGACACAGAACCATACTATTGTTCTTCCTCCACATACATGCTCAAATRTATCATTCCCACTCACTTGGAACATTTTACTGTTTTATTGTCACTAGTTCATGTGTGTTCAGAATACAAAACAACATGTCTTACCAAACACTCTCAGGCTGAGCTCTTTTTCACTTTCTCCCGCCTTGTTTTTGGCAATGCAGGTGTACTCTCCTTCGTCCAGTTTGGAAACATCCATTATCGTCAGTTCTGAACCATCATCATTAAAACCGTACTTCTCTTCATCCTCAAGTTTGACCCCATTCCTGTTGACAGTATGAATGTAATACACTAAATTAGTCAATCCCAGCAGTTTTCTAACACCATGTTTCCAACTTCTTTTCTTCAAAATAAGAATACCCAGGTTTCTAGAAAAAGTGCACCAGCTCCTGGATCCCTGGGGGACAAAGTACAAAAAAGGCCAACTGATCAAGTTGAAATACAGTGCCAAAAGAAAAACATGTGAAAGCTGAAACTCTTTGAGCAAGCAGAGCTTCCAGAAGCAGTGAGAGTACTTTTTAAAAAAAAAAAAATTGAAAACACTTTGCAGTAAGTGCAAATCCTGTTTCAGAATTTAGAAAAAGTTCTAGACAGTATTTACTAGTGAGAAACAGCAACAATAAAGTGCCTGGAAGATGTAGAAACAGTGCTGTTGCTTCAAAATTGGATGTGTGTATACAGTACAAGGAGAATATGCAGAATTCAGGAGGGGGATTCTTTGAAGCTATGATGGCTAACTAGTTGGCTTTCCTCCCTGTCATGCTTTTCTAAACTTTTGCCAATGTGGGCTGCTAAAAACTGGATGCACTACAGAGGTGAGAGGTGTAAGTACAAAAATATATTTTTTGTCATGCCCTCATATTTCAACTAGTTCTATCAGTTCTTTTTGTCTGATTTGTTTCACAGTTAGAAATTAACAGTAAAACCAGCCTTCTCTATAGGCTTAAGACATGTTCAGATTRAATGAATTAGTCTTTTTGTGCTTTAGTTTATTTGCGAGATGCTTCTTCTGACTTTTCATATTCAGTTTGCTGGACATACTGTAAATACAATGTACTTTACAGTTTCTTTATATTGTCATGGATGTAAGGGAAAAATACCTCGTGTGTTGTTATTCGAGTCTACTGACCCAATGACATACGCTGTACTGTGAGAACTCTGTTCTTTTTCTTTATCAATAGATTGGGACCCCCGGCCAGAAGCTAATGCTGTTTGGGGGGCCCTTGCTCTAGAAAATGAAAAGGGGAAAATAGGGTTCTGGAAAAAAAAGAGACAAATGTAAAGTCTGAATCTTAAAAGGCAGGAAGTATGAGTCTCACAGACGGGGATTAATCTTGGCCATGTAATTGTTTTAAGTTCAGTTTAGATCAATTGAGACCTGCATTTCTCTTGAGGCTCTATTTGTGTAATTTTACATCTACAATTTGTAGTATACTATTGCTAARCTTCGTAAAGCAAATAATGTTTTCTGCCCTCCGACATGACTGACTGCAAAGGATTTTGTTTCACTGACATTTTCAGCAAGTTRTTGGTGCTCTGTAATTGCATTAAAACTGAATCCGCTGATAATAAAACAATGGAAGCCAAAGTAAACTGGTGCTCCTGGACTGCTTGTGACCAGGATCTAAATTGTCTGCAGTATTATCTGCTGTCTTGGAAACCAGATAAATGGAAACAGTTTAACAAAGCGGGAGTCTATCAATGGCTGTATTCAGACAATGTGGCTATTGTTGACATGCTGCTCTTCAGGTTTCACTGTTCACCTTTGATACCGTGATTAAGTGTCCTATTGCAAAGAATAAATTAGCCATTAGGATGTCTCTAAAAAACACAAGTGTCTTGTGCACAGAAATATAATAAATCTACTGAACTATTTTGACATTCATTTTGACACTTTTCCTCTTTATTATTATTATAAATTATTGTTTGCATTTTTAGTTTTACCCAAAAGATGTAAGGCATGCAGCTGAGGCTATTGCTCTCTAATCGTGAGTAAAATTGCATGTGTCATGCAATCCTTCTGTAGGATGAAAGACAACCCACATCACACACAGTTATAATTGTTTCTACTGACTGCCATGMCTAATTAGTACTTCTTATGCAAGAGAAGATGCAACTCTGAAACGAACCACTTGATAAACTTGTGGGAAATCTTAAGCTGTAGAAGTAATGTTTGCTTATTTTCAAGATGATAACTAATTTTTTTGTTGGTCCACTTACAACCCACACAGCTCATTATTTTTGATTAGCCCTGCCTCATTAGTTTGTTCCTGTCAGCTTTTACCTCTACTGATGCTATGTATTCACAAATCCTTTGGGCCGTTTTCATAAACCTTTGCTAAAACCCACARTTTCCAGCCACACTACTGTACAGAGGCGATGTGGTTCCTTGAATCTAAATATTTTATGCTATAACTTAAAATATCCACCACACTTCATAGTGAAATATTTTCATTTTAGGACTGATCCAGTTTGTTTTCGGATTGCTTTGCTTCATATTTAATGTTTGGACAATTGTTAAAAAGACTGATTTAAATCTTAATATGCCTACTTAAACTGCCAGCTATTCAAAAGACAAATACTTCAACTTTAATTTGTGTTTAATAATATTCAGTCAATTAAAAACATAATTAGTGTAGAAAACGTCAAACTGCTGTCACTGTGAGAAGGCCATAATGAAGGTGAATAAACATGATTTCTTCATTTATGCCCCAAAACTAATAAAGAGTGTTTAAACTGATAATAAGACAACACACTGGCACTGACAAATGTCACTCATGAAAAAAATGTTTACCTTGTCCAGGTCACCATGGGTTCAGGATAGCCATCAACAGCACAAGTCAGCATGGCAGGCTGACCAACATCTGCAGTGGAATTTACTTCTGTCTGCCATATCCTGATGGTCGGTAGCACTGAGAAATAGAAAGATATAAACATTTATTTCAAAGACTACAAAGGGAGGAAAAATAAACATGTAATGACTGTCATTGAAATTGATATCCAGAACCAGACAAAATTTTGGACTGGATTCCCAGAATGAGTAGGCGCTGCAAAAGTGTTGACTGGTACTAAAAATGTTAAGACAGACAACCAGCAGAAACGGAGACAGAAACAGCCTCTGTGACACATACAAACAACTAATTTTAGRCAAACTAATTTTCTAGTTTCAGAAGTTGCAAGAAGCAGATTTTATTAGCATAAATTATCTTTGCTAAGCAGTTGCTCTGGGCAGCTGTTTCTACAGTGATATTGAGCCTGGTCGCCCCTGAGGTTCAGCAGCTTATTTAAGTGTCACCTGCCACACAGATGTGTGCCCGGTAAAAACAAGGAAGAGGAAACAGTGTGAGGAAGAGAGAGTTGCTAACCATTCACAACAACATCGATGGCACGTAGATCAATCTCGCCGCGGGCCATGAGRCGAGCCTCACACATGTACAAGCCTTCATCGGTCTTCTTTATGCTACGGATTTGAAGGTGATTATTGTTGAGTACCTTAAAACGTACTAAAAGGAAACAGAATAAATGGATTATTAGGAGATTTCATTTTGCAAGTTTACAACAAAATAGTAAACATTTTTGCCATTATAAAACAAGCAGGTAAAAAATATATAAAACACTTGTTAATATAAATTATTCAATAGGTCCAAATGGTTTATTATTTTGAAATATTGAATAATAATAACCCGCAGTGTCTCAGGTTTAAGACTACGGTCTTGTGGGGCATTTTGACCCAAACGCAGCAGGAAAGTAAATAAAAATACATTTTAATCATGAAATTTATCATTTAACAACTACTAAAAGAAATGAGAAATGTTATCTGTCTCACAATATTGCTAAAAAACTAAAAAGTCTGAAGGAAAAGTTTTAAATTAAGTGTTCTTTTTTACCCCAGACAAAATCCAGTTTGGTAAAAAACATGGTTTGAATAAAATTCCATTTTATGTTTTTAATTAGTCTTAGACAAAACAGTTTAAGTGTGCAACACAGAAATTAATGCAGAAAAGTAATTCTTGCTAAAATATAATTCAGTTCAGTTCAACTAGTTTGATTACAATACCATTTTAAATAATTCTTATCCAATTCAGTTTGWTATAATCATTTTGTGTATTAAGAAGGAAAAGAAGCCTGTTATTAATGACAAACCTGATAAATAAAACCTAATGACCATGTTCAGAAGACTTTCACCTGATGAAAAGAATTCATTTGTCCACACTGGAAGTTTTTACTCAGTAACAAAAACAAGTATGACTTTAATATTAAACATCACGCAGACATGTTTTTCACCTTCAGGAAAATCTTTATTATTATCTTTTTTGATGCCTGAAAGGTGTTTGACATATGAATGGTAAAATGATTTAAGAAGCTGTAACTTAAAGAGAASTTCCTTGATTCTTTATGGGAATGAATTGTATTATGTGAGCACCAGTGTTCAGAGCTGGTATCTTACCTCATAGTTTAACATTCATATGGATGATTTACCAGTAATGTTAAATGGATGTGACAGACACTATATGGTTGGTAGCTTTTTCATTAACCGTTTTATCAATGCAGGTATTTTATAGCTTTTTTGTTCCATAACTTCTCTCTAGCAGTTATTGCTTTAACTATATTTTATGGATTTTGACATCAAATCTTTTACAAATAGGAATACTTTTATCACTGTGAAAAGAAGAATATAAACTTATTGAATTCTTCCTGTCTCAGCCCTCAAGGTGGGTAATAACATAGATTTATTATGGATATTACATAACCAGGATTCTACTAGATGATGGGGATATTTATAGACAGTGATGCTAGCTATGAATACAAGCAAATATTTAAACGTAAATTTAGTTTGTTTATATTCCGTGTGCAGATATCTCCTTTCAAAGCTTTTTCTATCCCCCCGTTTGCTGCCCACCTGTGGCATTGTAACAAAAAAGGAGCTTACAAAGGCTTACAGTAATGAGGCTGCTGCTGAAATCCTAGACGTTACAGCACAAGCCAGATGTTTACTACCCTCTGCACACCCAACTGCTCTATATTTCCATTATTTATTTATGTATTTATTATTTGAACGTTCCAAAATTTCAACACAATGCTATACTGTCCAATCTCATTTTCTATTCTGCATATTCAGTCTGGACCGCCACTGGTGTTCTCGTCTGTGAATCATTGCTTCTTCCACAAGCTTGAGCAGGAGAAAAATATGACCAAGAGCTACTTGAACTTCTTCAGTTTGAGATTAAATATGAACCAAAAAATGTAGTCATGTAATAACCCTCACAATAAAACAACTTAAAAAAATAAAAATATATATTGCAACCCACACATGAATGTTTGTGGGGTTTTTTCTAATAAGAAATATCAACACTATATTATATTGCTCAGTGTCAAAAGAGAACAAGAGTCTTCTGTATTTTCAAATTCAAGACCAAAATTAATTTTCTTTTTTGAAGCACAGACAAACCCTGGAGAAGAAAGGCATGAGCAGCAGAGCACAAGTGCTTTCAAGTTTCTAACTCCAGCAAATCTGCATGTATATGATAAAGTAACCTGTCTTTGGGTGGCTATGCAAGCTTTTAAGCATTTCTGCTTTGATGTGTATGCTATTATCTTTTTTATTTTAGGGTATACAAAAGATCATCTTAGTTGTTTATGAGTGTGTACATAAGCAACATAACACTTAATTTTGTGTGTATTTCATGGTATTTTGATGTGAAGCATATTTTTATCTTGAAAGTTGTCACATAAATATTACACTAAATTATCATTGCAAAGCCTCTACTTACAGAATTCTTACAAAAAATATTAGTTAAGTTTAAGCGAGAAGTTAAGCTTGTTAAATGTGTTGCATTACATAAAATCAAAATCTTTGGAAAATACTTACCATCTTTTTCCATCTGTATTTTGGCCCCTTTATATTTCCAGAAGACAGTGGGTGGAGGCGAACTGATGACATCACAAATTATGTTGGCATTGTCTCCTTCATTAAACTCTTGAGGAGAGGGTGCATTTGTGAAAGTTATTCTTTCTGTAATAAAATAGGAAAATACATTAAACTTTGTCCTTGGCAGTGAAACTTAAAGAAAGTGAAAGTTTAAATTGTAGGCAGTTTCACAGAGCCTTTTTTATTTTAACATTTCAGTACTGACTGAGCTAAACCACAAACCACAAGCTATGCAGTCTTTTTTAGTAAAATATTGTTCTGAAAACAGAATATTGCTTACATGAGAGGCTTTCACAAACAAAAACCTAAAGTAGGCACTGAAATAAAAGAAAAGTTCTATTTGGAAGCAGATTTCATTATATGGACATCTGCTGATGTTTGGCATTTAAGGAAAATAAAACCCATCACTCACAGGAAGTGCACAACAGACAGGATCATTAAACAGCCCTTTAATGGTCTTCCGACCATTTATTGAATTGATGAAAAACCCTCACTTGAAAAGAAAAAGAGTAATGTGTTGCCTTTGAGCAGTCAATAAAATACAAGTTCAATAACCAGGATTCTTTTTTCTTCTGTGTTCATAGCATTCAATAATTTGGAGACAGTCCTGCATGAGAAGAAGTGATTACTTACGAAAGATTTTCACTTTGACAGTTGCCTCGCCTTGCTGGTCTCCACTGGTAGCGACACACTTGTATGTCCCAGCATCTTCAGTCCCCGCTTTATAAATTGTGAGGGTGGAAGATGACTCATCGTTGCGGGTCACCGTCAGCTCTGCTCTATTCGGCTCTATTCTGTCCCCACTTGGACCAAACCAGTCTATGTGTTTGGCAACACCTACAACTAAAAACAGAGAGACAACAGAGTGGCAGATAAGAAAATAAACATCTATAAGGGATTTATTTTGCATCGTTACAGTATAAAGCTGCCAACAGATGGAAGAATGTAGGTGGTACATGTTCCTGCAGAATCCAAAAGCTGGAGTTGGTAAATTTTTACTTTCCTTTGATTTATTAATTTTTTGCCTTCAGAACATGTTAGCTGGCAACAAGAGTGTGATAAAGATGATACAATGTATTTTTTTTTCACCACAGGGATGATTGCTTAATCATGAATGAAAACAATATTTGTATTTTATGGTACTTGGTAAACAAAGATGCTATGTTGCTGTGAAATAAAAAAAAAACAATGTAATATGGTGGTACACTTACCGTCACACATGAAGAATTTGGACTCACCAAGACTAATCTCACCATGTGTTGGTGTGATCTGAACTTCCAGTGAAACTACAAAAGACAAAAAAAGCATACATCACACAGTTAGAAAATGTGAAAATGCACAACACTGCTTTAATACTATGGTTTTTAAATGTTTAAGAATAAAAACACAACAAATGTAGGCCTCTCAGGGGAAAAAAATGTAGCCACCAGCAAGAACAGCCAGAGCTTTTCATTAATGTGAAAAATGCTGGATTTACTGTCAGAATTACAATATGCATCTATTGTCCTAAAGTACAAAAACTCCTTATGAAGGTGAACCTTTAGAGCTTTGTGGTATAAAATAAAACATGAAACTGTTCAAAAAGAAATAAAAAAAAATGTACAATTGGAATTTTGAATAACAAAAATATTTATTCCTTCTGACTTTGAACTTCTAGTAAGATTTTTATGTCCATCCATCCATCCATCCATCCATCCATCCATCCATCCATCCATCCATCCATCCATCCATCCATCCATCCATCCATCCATCCATCCATCNCCATCCATCCATCCATCCATCCATCCATCCATCCATCCATCCATCCATCCATCCATCCGTCCTCTGCTTATTCTGCAACCCAAAAATCAATTTAAAACTTTTGATAATCCAAGGAACTCCAAAGAATCACTCCAGAATAACTCCTATGTTCTTAAGTGATAATACAAAATTTCTGGTTGCTTCATGAGGACCAACTGATTAGGAAGAGACACTTTTTTTCATAAAAAAATAAAACTCCTAATTTGAGTTTATGCTTGGTACAAGTACAGACACAAAGTTAAGGTAGGAGTTGTCATAAAAAAAATCTAACTTTGAGCTGTGATCCATTTTCTGCCCTTGACCTTGCAGAAGATAGAACTCTCCTAGCCTTAAGGTAGCAACAAATGTTGTTTTTTTTTTTTTTTTTGTTGTTGTTGTTTTGAAAATACATTAGTATTTTTAAGCCAGTGGGAATAGGAAAAAAAATCTGTGTAAACCAAAGTTCATGCACATCAATCCCTAGACCAGTTCTGGCCCCTTGCAGGTCTGCTGCCTAAATGATTAACTTTTCTTATTCCTCCAATGCCAGCAGTTCTGTCCTTTCAAGAAAATAATAACTTCAAGTTTGCAATTAATCAGTAACAATTCACAGCTGGAAAAACTGGTCATTAGAGAAATGTGCATTAGAAACATCAACCGATTCTGATCACAGGCAACATACTGAAATGAATATACTTTTTGTTTCAAGAGAGATAAAACTACATTGTTTGTCATTAATATATAGTAGTGAATAAGATTTGTTTTCTTTTTTCATGCTATCATAAAGCATTGGATTAGCTAATGGTGTTAAAAGTGATATAGCATATTGAAAAGACTGTATTAAATTACACTGAAGAAATAAATCCACACAACAGAGGTGATAAAAGAAATGCAGTGTCTTCATGAAACTTTACACTTCAGATATTAAAATAAAAAAGGATGATTTCTGATGTTTGGACAAAAATGTTGCTGCATTTAATTTAAAMAAATCATGTTTTTTTTCCTTTGGTGCAGTAAATAGGTACTGTCAAAATTCCAGTTCTTAACATTTGTTACAAATGAGCATGAGGGCCACAGAAACACATATACTTGTAAATTTTTGGTTTGATAACGTGTTTGTCAGGACCTGCATGTATTTATTTATTTATTTTGTTCWTTTGTAGTCTCTGGAATGTCTGATTAGGTTTATTTATATTTTGTGATTCTAGTCATCATCTTACTCGTGTTTCATTGTATAGTTTTTGTGTCTCCTTTTTGCCACCCCTTGCTTCTCTACGGTCATTTTCTTCTGCTCTGGTCAGAACTGCCACGCCCATTTCTCCCCTGCACCCGGTCTCATCAAGCTCAGTTGACTCCAATCTCCTCGTCATCCTCAACCCATATAGTCTGTCAGTCCTCTTTTCTTCCTCAGTGGAGCATAATCTGTTCTCATATTACAGCTCGGTCACTACACTGTCCTCCTCTGTTTCTGTAAGTCATTTCTGCTGCCACGTTACACTTTTTTTCTATTTAAATCATATCTTTTGGAAGCTCCTTGTGTCAATCTGCATTATTGGGTCCCAGTTTCCCTAAAACTGTGACAGTGTTAGCAATTTTTACTGCTGACTGATCAATTACCTCATTAATCTTACTTGTAATTCCTCCTGGAAGTACAAGCAAGCTGGAATTGCTGATTTCAAAAGTCCAGAACAAAAGAAAAAGTTAATACTCTCAGTCTGAGCTATGGAAATCACTTCAGCTTGCACAATCTTCTCTGTCAGATTATCCTCATGTGTCAAAATAAGCACTTTAATCAGATATTCAGCTGTTCAAAACTTTCATTTTAAACTGAGCCACACTAATTTTGTCAGAAGGCTTTTGATGTTCAAAGTGACAAAACATCAAACCCAGCGATCAAGCGCCTACTCATCCCCCCCCCCCCCAACAACAAATATGAACAAATAAACAATGTTATGCTAATGGAATGGAAAAGCGATATGAATTTTGTTTTAATTGGACTGAAGTAACAAAAGTGTTTGACAAAATGAAAACACCTAACAACGCAATAGCAAAAGCATAATGTAGACTGATTAGTCACGACAGGTTTATTCCCACAGCTCACTCATATTTTTGGTTGAAAGAACTTTATATCAACATTGTTTTAATTAAAACAAATCTATATAAAATACAATAAAATTGGATAAATATAGAAAAAAAAAAGATTTAATGTTGCAATGCTTCAGTAATGCTTACAGGTGATAMATCCTAATTAGCTACTTTTGAATAATGCTCAACGTTGACTAAACCTACTTGTAAATGAGTTTTGTGTCCTGGGCGACATCATTCCTTTCTCAAAAAATCAAACACACTTTAATCAGGACCATGATTTAATACCTGCGATCAAATTTGGTCATCCATACTCAGTAAGATGACACAAATCTAGAAGATTTTGAATTACTGTATTTATAACATCATAAATTCTTGCAGTAGCATTCACAGCAACACAGACATAATTCAAATTACTGGCAAAACAATAAATAATTGTGGTAATTTGAAACATCTTAAATCCAAAGAGCAGCGAACCAAGCTGGGAAACTGCTTTGTATTCTTCATGATGCTCCTTCATCCATTAAAACAAACAATGCAAAACTATTCTTACATCCAGCAGACAAGTTGACAGAGGGATGAGAGCTCCACAGGGAGTTGCCATCACATGAGCCTCCTTCCTCTCAATCACCGAATGTTTTTTGTTCTTTATTCGAGTGACAGAAAACAACAGCAACACACCTGCTTTGTCTGAGAGCCTTCCAAATTAAATCACTCTTTTGGCCGAGCACTAATTGGCTCTCTCAAACTAAAAAGTAAAGTCACGGCTTCTCTTCAGTAAGACAAGAAGATTTGCTAATTGCTCTTCAACAACAGCTCACTTTTCATATATTAAAGAGAGACTTATAAGATCCTGCAGCTCCAGTCTTGTAAACGGCAACAACTCTTACACAGCAGGGGGTGGTCCATTTACATGAAGCAATTGTGAGGTCTAGAAATTTAATCTGCATGTGAACTTCTGGTAGCCGAACTGCTTGAAACCCAAGAATAAGGCTGCACATTGTTGAGCCACAACATAACAACTGCTGATATTTATAGGGACTAAGCTGGACGGCATTCATCATCCTGGCAAGATGTAATGTTTATCTGGAAAACCATGGGATCTGGCATTTTTTTGTGGATGATATTTCACAAGAAGGGTTACATCAGTGCTTGTTAAACAAATTATCATACCCCTCCTCATACAGCTAAATTCCCCAGCAGGACACTGTGTGCTGTCAGACTGCAAAAGGTTTCAGTTAAAAAAAAAACAAAAAACATTTTAGATTGCAATACAATGAGCCTTGCTCCAAACACCCCGAAACAAAATCCTGCCAGGTGTTTGTGAGATGATCAAAACAAGAGCAATCAAGACTTGACTCTCTGCATCAACCCACACTACTCATAACTTCATTTCAAGAATTTATTAAACAACCAGATTCAAAACACCACACACACAAAAAGAATTTAACATGCTAATGCTAATAT